TTTTAGACAAACAGGAAAACAAGACAATACAATACAATCAAACATAATAGCAAAAGGTCAAGCGACAGAATAGTGCATGTCACCGTGCTGGGCACAGCGTCTGGGAGGTCAGGTTTCGCTTCAGATGCCACTCGGAGAGCTTCTTAATGGCCACCGGATCGATGTCGCGGTTCGTCTTCATGAAAATGGTCTCGTAGGGGTGGACGTTGAAGCCAAAGTAGGCATCGTTGAACAGAACATCATCGCTGTGCGTGGCATTGCAGTACGCCTCGAGGCTTGTCTCTTGGTGCATCGCGGCCATCATGACGTCGACGGCGTAGCCGGCGTTCTGGATCAGCGTAGTCAGGCCAACCTCGGAGTGGACGGCAGCGCGGTGGTTGTTGTAACAGCCGGTGAGGCCGACAGGGTCGTCGGCGCCGCCGAACTTATCGGCCACGCCTGAGGTTGCATGGTCCGGGTCGAGCAAGATGGACATGCCCGTCTCGTCGGTGGCAAAGATCATGGACTGGACGTGCGGACGCGGATGGCAGTTGACCGTCAGGCCGACAAACTTAACGGTGTCGGTGATCTTATTGAGGTACAGGTCGGTCCAGCAGCCGCCGGACCAGTAGGGGATAAAGGGCCCGCGCAGGCTGGAGTTGATACTCATAAACTTGGTGTAGCTCTTCCACAGGTTGTTGGTCCGCAGCACTTCGCCTACGGCGCCCATGTCGTAGCAGGTGTTGTTGCGGCGGACGACGCGGATGTTGTCCCAGTCGGGTAGGAGGTTGGGCGCGTCGGACTCGCCGTTGAAGATGAAGACAAAGTCGGCGGCGCGGTGCAGACCGATCTGGACAAAGTACGCGAGGTTCTCGCGGCCAAACTTAGACTCAGCGTACACATAGGTGATGAGGGTGTCGTGAGGTCGTGATGGTGTCTGCAGTGCTGGTACGTCTGTGTCGGATACGTGCCCCTGCGTCGATGTCTGTGGATGGTTTTTTGTTTGCGGTCCGCCGTGTGCGAGACGGTCGAATGCGCCCCTGTTCTTCTCAACACGTCGTCCGGTCAAGGTGTCGATGTTATTAAGGGCACTGAAGGAAACCACCCAGACGACCATGATCACCAACACCGCCTTGAGCACACGAGAGCTGACCAAACGGCCCGTGTTTTCGGTGGCCGTCGTCATGGACGCCCTGAGGGCCGCGAATTTGGAAATCATTGTGGATGGCAAGAGCACCAAAGGGTGAACCGATAGTCTGAAAGGACACAAAAGAGAGAGACGAGGGGGATGCAAGGCTCCGGCCAGATCATAGTTGGGGAGAAACTGTCCACGGAAAGCACGCAAGTGGTTGCATTGTGAATGCAAATACGAATTACGGGTCACAGCACAGGCAGTCAGCGGGAATCCTTTGAGTGTTTTTCTAATTTTTTGTAGGATTCACCAGCATAAGGGGGGCTGCGGACGAGACCCCTTAAACACTGCGTAGGAGAGCACTGCCAGTACTAATGGTCTGGCAGTAGCTGTCATGCAAAAATAGAAAGGAACAGCAGGGATTGAGTAACCCTTACAAAGTATTACGGTTTGCTTTTTACATATCTTATTTACACTCGTAGCACCAGACGTATTCTGTCTTTTATTTAAAGCGACGTTTCAATAGTTTTCTTTGGCGCCAACACGCAAAGGGATATCAGAATTCCAGATGTATTTTTGTGTGACGAATACAGCTGTTCCCAGCGCGCTGAACAAAGCGAAACTGTTTTAAAAGTCCAATAGACCGTCTCGCTAAATTTCATTTTGGGCGATGTAGTTACCTGGTCAAAGAATGTGATACGGAGAAGAATGGAACGTTGAAAGAGAAAAGCACACATTACGTAGAGCATAACGGCATCAGCAATCAATCTCACCACCGGCCACTGTGGGTTAAAAGGGTCAGCATTGTCATTTGTGAGTATTGATAAAAGACCGCTTTGTGCCACAACCTCCCACTGAAAGACGGAATAGCCATGGTAAGATTATTACACTCTTTCTGTCTCTTTTCTTAAGCCCCTTTCCTTTCTCACCCACGTTCACGATTCTTGCCAGTAGCCGTCAAGTAAACGCTGCCAAGAAATATACCGCATGGCCATGGCTAGCACTCCCGACCCCCAAACAGAGAGTAGATAAATAGATAAATAGTCGATGGGACTATCTTGGTTTTTAGCGAGACGGTGTCAATGGTACAAAGCACGACATACGTCAAAAGAACTGCGGCTACGCTGTATGGCGTATTGGTATTTTAGCTACGCAAAAAAGGTACAAAGAGATGGGCAACGACAAAACTCCCCACCACAAAGTGGCTTAATTCGCGAGTTCACCTCCAAAGCTTGGCAGGGAGGAAAGGAAAGAGACGCATGTTTTGTAAACACACAACTGTAGTCTTCACAGGAATACTGGGACTCTTGAAACAGGGTCGCACACCAAGATAGCATAAAGCACCTACTTCGTACGAGCTGAATCCTCCATCTGCCCCACTGTGTGGATACCCATTTCCAACAATCTGTTGGCGGTACTGCGGGCTGAGTCTTGGTGCTGTCAATTTGCAGCGAATCCCTCCAATCCTGCAGGACCGTTTCTTTTTCTTTTTCATTTTTGTGCCCCTATTTCCTCTCTTGTCTTGCCTTTGACTGGAGCGAGGTGCTGACAGCAACCGTGGTCGGTGCCAATGTTCTTGGCAAAAAGTGGCGGATGCGTCGAGGCGAAGCTTCGTACTTCGTATTGGGCGAGGAAGAGTACGATAAAGGAACAAAACAAGTTTGGCCTAGACCACAGCCTTCGTTTAAGGTGGGTCGCCGTTTGGAACAAGTTCATAGCGTCCGTTGGTCAAGTTCCGAGAGCGCCATCTTAATGTCTAACAGAACGGTCGACATGCACATCGACGTGCAGTTTGCGTTGCATTACAGGATTGGAAAATCGTGTCACCAATGGCACAAGGTGGCGGGTCGGCACTCTTTTTGTCATTTCGCGCAGATGCTTAAATACAATGCATCGCAATGACACCCGAGATCTTGGGAACAGAGTTTGCGAGTTCTTCCATCAGACAATTATGGGGAGGTAGGTAAGCTGGTGAGATACGACTAGGCAGAGTTGTGCAACCAAGAATTCGTCATGTCAGGTCTATCACTTGTTTTCCAGCGACTCGGGCAGACCTGGTCACATCCCTTACCTGCCTTCGGACATTCCAGAAAAAATGGCAGCGCAACGACCGAGTATGGCATGATGCACGGGTCAAATTTTGAGGGAATAAATTGTTTCTACACATTGAGCCACCGTAGTACCTTCAAATGTAGCGGGCGACCAAGGCAAACTTGGTGTGCCCCAGAGATTGTGCCCGGCCTTCCTTAGTAGCCTATCAGCGAAGCACGTTCTTTCACTGCAGAAAGAATGTGTACAGTTGTCTCGCAGTTGATCTGCTGTTGCCCGATGTCAGCACGCAAGACACTGTGATGCAGGCAAAGGTTACTTTTGCAACTTGCTAGGCGAGGTTGATTTACTTGTGTCTGGCCTCCGCTCCAGCTGGCCACCCCTTTTTGCAATGCCCCTCCTCATTGCTGCTTTTGTATCTCCGAGACTCACAAAGTTTGCTTTTCGCTTCTCCAACAACCGGTTTGGGGTCAGATTTAGCTTCTGATCTCCAACTGTGGTCTTGGCACGTCAAATACGATGTAGGTTGAAATCGGCTCCCAGACTCACCAGGGAGTCTTGGCAAGGCTGGGCCCGCGTTCTAAAACACGCAAAGATGAAAGCAGAAATATGCAGGGACGTCCACGGAGACGAGCTCGAGGGCGTGCGGAGAGACTATGACGTTCAACGTGCACTGCATAAATTTTGTTGCGACACAAATATTCAGAACAATGTTCCACCACCATCCACCAGACATTGTTCCTTCCTCTACAGAGGCAACTCCTTACTTTTCCTTATTCTCGATCAACAAGGCTTCGAACAGCACTATTTGCAGAGTCGTATGAAAAGGCAAAAGCCAAACAAGAATGGAAGACTCCCTGGTCTTCCCGCAAATTTACACGACGCATTGGGATTAACGCGACGCCGAAGCGATCGCCAACGGGAGAGCAAGTGTGGCCGAATCGGGTCACGAGCCATAGCACGTGACTTTACACGTGACGTTCAACTCAGGCGCTCCAGGCTGAAACGAAAGACATGAGGCTTTTATGGATGTAGCGAGAATTCAACAGCTGTGTAAGACACAATAACCATCACCAATTGGTCATAACTTGTATTCGACAGAATCGTGCAAAGGTAGCGTAAATCGCGCCAAGAACATTTAAGTGGCACGTACTTCGTACACTTACCGCGTTATGTATCTATACAGAATATGCTGCTCACTGTAGGAGCTACGACGTGGCCAATGGCAACTGTCTTTCAATGGAGTTGCTGCATCATGAAGCTTCCCAGGCAGCAAGACCCCAATGCCGAGTGCAGCTCGTCGTGCAAAAAAGGTTCAAACAGTTCTGGTCATTGTTGGTCTTGTGTCGTAATGCACACCAATTGTGAGTGAAGAAGCCCACTTTTCTCCAACAAGTGCTTTTACAGCGGAAAATTAGCGTGTCGGATGCTACGTAGTCCCTCCCCGCAAAATGACCTACCAAAAATTACCTATCAACCAAAAAAAAAAAAAAGGCGAGCATGCGCATCGCATCGCGAGTGACAACACAGGCAAATTAGTAATTGGGCCTCTTCAAGCCGCGACATCGCACCTTCTTACGCCGACCTCCTGCGGCGTCTAAGTCGTCTCCTTCCTGTTTCGACCAGCTGCTGCACAACGTCGCCTCCTTCCTCACACGCCGCCTCGCGCGATTTGCGTCCGGCAGGAGCTACCCGCCGTTCCCGATCGCGACTTCACATTCGCTCCACTTTGCCGACGCGAGGGAACGTCCTACATACGTCTTCACCTTCTTCCTTATTCCTCACTACCCTCCCTTCCTCTCACCCATCTTTCTAAACTTTTACCAAGCACAAAGACAGCATGGCATCCGAACAAGAAAACGGCATTGATGTTGACGAGCTCGACTCGGCTGCCGTCGCTGCCGCCATGGGCTTTTCTAGCTTTGGCGCACAAGTTCCGCCAAATAAGAAGCGGCGGTTCAATCCCCAGGCCGACGCCATCGTCGGCACACCACGCGACGGCCGCCCGCCCGCACGTTTACCGCCGAATTCGTCAGGCACTGGTGCTAACGTGACAAGGCTGACCCCACGACCAGCAAAGACAGTTGCGCCTTCGCCAGACATGACAACGTCAAGTAGCCTTCCCCTCGACCCTCCCCAGGCCGGCAGCGCAAAACCGTCCATGAAACTGCCGCCGCCAACGAACGTCATCAACACGGACGAGATTGACCTCGACGATGCGGAGGAAGACGGGCAGGAGGACCAGGACACAAGCGGCGGCGTCGACCTCGAGACCGACACATACGCAGACGGAGAAGAGCCGGGTCCACAATACCTTGATACCTCAAGACCTATTGGTGAGGTACGAGATCATCTCGGTGAGCCAGACGGGCTTGCCGGGGATGCTGAAGTAGATCCGGCCAGGCTCCAAGCCCGGATTGACGCCGTTGTGGCTGCCGGTAATGCCACCTATGGAGTGCCACCTGCTGCAGCCGCCGCCGCAGCCAATCCGCAGCTGGACGGCGCGGCCCACTCGACTGGCCCTCACCGCCATGGATGCATACGCCCCGGTGACCGGCACGGATTTAACCTCGACCTAGTGCCCGGTGTTGGCTCACAGGTCAGTGCTCGAGATGCCGCCGGCAACGAGGATGCCGACTCGCGGATGGACGATGGCTCGCCCCAATTTGGTTCGACGGACAGCCGTGGTGAGTGGCAAGGCCGCGGACAAGGGCAAGGGCGGGGCGGTCGAGGACCTGGTCACGGCCACGGCCACAGCCACGGCCACGGTCACCAGCGGGACTGGTGGGCCGGCTACTATGACCTCACCAGCAACGAGAACCCCTGGGCCCGTATTGAGGACAAACTGGGACTTCCGCCATGCGGCGGCAGTTGGCTCAGACGGGGCCATGCCCGTGCTGGACAACCATGATGTCGACTGGATTATAGCACTCCGCCATGCTCATCAGTATTTTTCTTCTTCGACAAGACGCGCTCAATTTTATACCCAGCCATCTAAAGCGATCCTAGGGAACTTAACAATCAGGCTGATTGAAATCGAACCACTGGTTAGGGCAATCTCGGCTCTTACCCCTTGGTTATCCGACATTACATCAATCTTTACTCTGCCAGATTTCCACCTTCCCTACCCAGCTCAACGAAGTCAAATCCCTGCCTAACGTTTGGCCTGTCCTCTTGTCATCTGGCGTACCGCAATCAAGCACGCTGCCCGATCGACCACTTACCACTTCCTGCATGTTGCACCGCCTCTGTGATTTCGTTTAGCGATGTCGTTTGGCTTCCCCTGACGTGTAACAACTGCATAAAGCCTCTGTCCGTTACCATTCGCACACTCTACAATAGCCTAATCTCTTCCCTGCCCAATCCTGCCCCTTGCCACTGGACCTATTAATGGTAGTTCCTGTGTCTCTGACACCCAATCGCCAACCAGCATCTTTGAAGAAACTCACATCACGTGATATCGGTTGTGTCAGGGGTAAAAAGAAAACAAACCCGAAAAAGGCGGATAAGGCGATGGGCACACGTGGGGTGGTACAGAAAGCGTTGTTGGGAGCACACGCAACGCCAAATCCAAGGCAGCGGTGCCCGACCAGGATGGGTCGAGCAAAGGAATAAAGAAAAACACGCATTGAGATGCACGACCGAAGTGGAATGCAAGAGGGCTAATGGGACCAGCTGATAAAGGAGAAAGAGAAAGAAATGAAAAGAATGAATAAAAGACAATTAAAGACTCCATGTTCCTTTGGTCTATGTCAGGGAGGGGAAGGGCAGAAGAGAGCTAGGGCGGCATTAATTGGGGGTGATGCAGTGGAGGTGGGAGGTGGGAGGCGACATCTCATGCTGCATCGACACTTACACCACCTCCTACATCACGCATATCAATATACCCACGCATCTGCGACCACTCACGCACACACGCACGCACACGCACAAAAGCCACACAGAGATGATGTGGCACATCTACCCCTTCTACAGGTTTACAGATATTACCTACGCACACCTACAGAGCCTTGTTACAGAGACGTATTCATTACTCTAGTGTCGTTCTCGTAACTAGCAAATCACAGAAGCACACTCGAAAGGAGACATACAGTACAAAGCCCACTACACTGTCCCCCCAGAAACCGCCATCCCATGACACACTGCCAGCCTCCCCTTCCCAGGGCCAAATGAGAAAGTCAGCTCGCCCACAAAACCGTCATCCACAGCACGGCCACCAAGCAAGCACGATCGCTGTCTTCTGGCTCGTGGTCTACTCGCTCTCCTGGTCCGAGCCAGCGTCCCCCGGAATGGTATGGCGTCCTCGTCACCACCGTCTCCCACGGGCTATCAGAAATGCTATATAGAGATGGGTTCATAAGGTCGCCGCCACCGTTTCCATGTCGCTGTGCCAAACCTTCCCGTCTTCCGTTTTCTCCGCCAGTCACCGTTTTGTCACCCCTCCTCGCTGCTGGCCAGATCCCCCGATCTCAAGTGCAGACGCCTGTGTGCCAATACCTGCCAGTGCCCGCTTTATAAGCGCGCTCACTTACACCCCCCAATGCACTCGGTCGCTCGCTGGCTGCTCTGAAATTTCCCAGTGGCCATTGGCAGCCCCAAAAGCACACTCCCCCTCCCTCGTCGCTTCTCCAAGCCGCCTGCTACACAGCACGCCTTCCATGCTCTCCCGGCTGTCCCTTGCAGCATGCGAGACCTCGAGAGAGAATGGAGGGGGCGTGTAAGAGCGATGGACGCTTCCCCAGCGGGCTACTGCAGCCCTGGCGCTTGCCGAACGGGTGCTCCCACCCACCCAACTTCCCAGAAAGGGCTTTGTACAGTACTTCTCGTCGATTCTCCTGTCAATATCCGTCTCATTCTGCCCAATCATAATTCGTAACGTCGTGAAAGGCCAACCCCGCGCAGAAAAAATTGCGCAGGTTGGAAAACTGCCAAAGAGTAAGAGAATAATAAAATCAGTAGCAAAAATGCAACGCCGGCCAAAAAAAAGTTTCCAAAATCCCGCCAAATGCAATAGACATGGCCACCACAGCTCTTCATCGGCTGCTCGTGTGAAAGACGATATATCCGCCGATTCTATTCGATCGACCCCAACTTTTTGTTCTGCAGCAGGTGTCATCGTCGCTGTTCGAACCTCGTCGCACGTTGCTCCCTGGCAGGAAACGCAAGGATCCGAAAACAGAAATTGATAGTGGTGGGGAAGCGGCTCGAGGCGCAAAAAGATGGTGGTGGGGTGTATACAAGATGCTGCCCCTGGTCGCTTGAAAGGCAAATGAGAAAGGGGTGCGTAATGTATTAGAGAAACGACATGCGAGAAATAAGGTTTCCGGGTGAAATGCCGGAGGAAATCGAATGAACGCTAAATGCAGGGGGGGCGGGTTCAGGCGCCTCCCGTTGAACCGGTGCGGCTCCATGCATTTAGTAGTCCGGGGAAGGGTACCGCTCACGAGCCTTCTTATACTCCTTGGGGTACTTCTTCGCCGCCTTCGAGTTCAAGGTCCTGTATTTTTCGACTTGTCAGCTTCAAACTCACAATCTTACGGTTTCTTTCACTGCCATCTAATGCAGTGTGATGATTTTGCCCTTGCCTCCTCTCAGCTCGCGAAAGTTTGGTGCAAGCTGAAGTGAAGTCGTAAGGCAAAATTGCCTAATTCGGCAAATCACCTGCTCGACGATGGCCACCGAGCCAGTTTCAACAGGAGGGCTAAAATCACCCGACGAAAATTTTGTGCGCCTCCAACGGCAACTCAGAAAACACTCGGTTGAAAACTTACGTCAATTTCTTCTGCGACCACTCTAAATCTGCGCGCACTTCGCGCGCATCGCGCATGCCGTCGGCGAACCGAGTGCGCACTTTGGAAAGACGAGCCTGCGCCTTCGCCTGAAGCTCCATGAGCTCACGGTGCTTGTCATTCAAGCGACCAGATCTGGAAATTTATGTTAGCTACAAGGTTCGTCGCTTTGTCACTTGTCCAGTGCGGCACTTTCTAGTGTTTTCTTGCGGGTGGGCGACTGTACTCACGCTTGCGCCTGCATCGCCACGTTCTTGTCAAGCGGAATGGGGTTGAACGTGTCGTTGAAACGTTCTTGCATGTAGTCATTGAAATCCACACCGCTTGCAGACATGGAGCTGTCATAATCGCCCTGCATGCTGCCAGCGTAGCTTGCGGTAGTGGAATAGCCAGGCTGGACGCCGTATGAGGCGCTTCCAGAGGCGGAGCTCACGTTCTCAGACTCGGGCGGCGACACCGAGTAGACACTGTTCCCGCTATGGTATCCATGATAGTAACCAGCATACTCATCCTTGCCGGGGACGGGCATGGGAAGTGTGTTGGTGTACATATGGGAGCTGTAAGAAGACATGATGTCGGAGAGAGCTGGAGATATAGAAGACAAATGTGGTTCGTTCTTGCGGGATGTGGAAAAAGAACGTGTGAGACTGAAAATGTAATGTCTGAGAGCGTTGGAAAGACGAAGATATGAGTTAAGAAGTAAAGGTGATGTGAAGATGGTGTTGAGGACGATGAGGAGGAGAAAGAGAGAAAGAAAAAAAGAAGAAGAGAAAGAGAGGAGAAGACAGATGTCAACTCGGGAGAGAAGAGACATATTTATACTTTTTCGAGCCATCTTGATCGGCTTCGTGTCGGCTTCTTTCGAGAAGAAGAGGATAAGAGAGAAGGACTCGATTCGTTAAGTATGAGAAGAAAGGCGTGACCCCGCTTGGCTTCAAAGGCAAGTAGAGGCCGAGAAACGGAACCGGAGAGAAGTAACTGAGATATAAAGGTCAGAGGCAGAGTAGGGTGGGGGCACGCAAAAAGCGGCAAGGCAAGACAAGGGGCGGTTATGGAAGTGAAAACAAAACGGAGAAAGAGCAAAGGCAAAAAGGTGTGAGGAAGGGGTAGTTGTATGATGAAGAGTGAGGGGAGGGTGGCGGGGGCAGAGAACGACATGTCCGTATAAACACTCTGTGTACATACGTGTACGTTACTCACAATGTATGTACGTTTTCTGTGGACAGGGCGTATCAATGCCGCAATGTTGACATGCAACTTAGAGGGCACAGGAACAGCCTAAGTCGAGAAGTGTGGCGATCGACGAGATGATCCAGCTGATATGTTGAGAGATAAATGGTGCGTAGCTTGTCCTAGGATATCGCTCGGACCAGAAAAATGTAAAGGGAAGAAGGCGCAAGCGAAGGAGAAGGAGAATGTGAAAAAAATGAAGACTGAAGGTTCACAAAGAGGGGTTGGAACGCTTGCAAGGATGTGCCGAGACCAAGACAAACAAAATATAAAAGGCAATATTGGTGGATATGAGGTGCGATAGCAGCCGTTGGAAGGACGCTGCCAACGGTAAGGGGGTATGTAAGAATTCAGAGACAAGAGGCGAAAAATGAGAGGGTGTTGAGACAACACATGGGCCCCTAGTGGATGGGGGTGTACATAAAGACTGAAGGGAAAATTGGAATTGAATGTGACGAGCTTGCAAACACGAATTGCAAATTGTAAAGGGTGTGAAATATTTTTTAAAAAGAAAATAAGGCGATAATGAGGTTGGTGGCCAACCAGGGGGAGGTTTATGTAGGTGAGAAAGCCGACAAAGAGCGGCTACGACAGCAAAGGACTAGGAAATAAAAACATATAGGCTTGCAAGCACCAAAATCTCTAATAAAAGTAAAAAGAAGCCACCATCATAATAAGGAAAACGTTGAGCGAGACATATGTTTTGTTGGCCGTTGATCCGGCAGGTGTGTGTTAGAGTGGATATCAAGCAAACATGAGGGTGGGAAAGCTGATCATGCGGCACAAAAAACTTGACAAACGAAAAACAAGCCATGGCAATGGAGGAAGCGGGGACAAGAGGGACTCCGAGACAAAAGACGAAAAAAGGAAATGAAGACGGGGGCGTGGACGTAGAATGATGTCGGTGACGACAAGCCAAGATAGGAGCCAAAGAGTACGAAGCACGAAGAGCAAATGGTGGTCTGGAAAGGAAAGTATCAAACTAGCAAGGATGCTCGGAAAGCCAGGCAACAAAGGGCATGTGCGGAGGCGATGGCAAATAATAGAAAAGAAGCACAACCAACGCGGCGATGCATTGGTTGTCGGCGTGACGGCTGGCGGAGGTTTGTCAATGGCTGTATTTTGGCATGGAAGGAAAGGTGGGCAGACCATCGAAATAGGCTAACAGTGACTGGCCATGGAGACACTAGACGGGATGGAGGAATTGAAGGCGAGGATAAGAAGCACCAAGTTTCAATGAAGGCGAGACAAGACTGTGCGCATGCGGCTAGAATATCTGTGTTTGCCCAAACGATCACTGGCAATGCATAGATATTCACGTCATGGAATGACAAAGGCTAAACCGAGACAATATATGATATGAGCAGAGGCCTCAGGATGAGGCAAAGGGGTAATGAGGTAACCCGGAGCATTGGGCCGTATAAAAGTGGTAAAGTAGATGAGGATAATGGGGGCAAGTTACTGTAAATCAGATATACCTAAAACGGTGAGGAGCCAGCGAGATTTGCTTGCAATGGAAAGGAGGAACATGTCAGAATCCAAGGTCCAGACTGGGACCGGAAGAGACTAAAACGGTGAACGACAAACGGAGGCAGAACCAGGCTTAGCCGCATAGATAATGGGAGACGACAGCGGCGAAACACGGGTAACGGAAGTGTGACGACAGAAAGAAAATCCGCCGCTGGGCGAGGGGTCGAAAACGAGCCAGACGAGGAAAGACGGCAACAAGTACAGTACATCGGTTGCGAAGACTTCTGGGGTGAGACATCTGCAGGCGGCCATCCCGTCTTGGAATAGGGTGCGAGAAGGTGTGGGAGCAGGTCGAAAGGGAGGGGGTGTGAAAGAATAGGCGACGAGCAGAAGACAGAAGTGCAGGATAAAAAAAATAAAAAAAGAGGGGACAACCGAACAAGGGCGCCGGTGCAGAAAAGTCACTGTCGGATCTGGCATGTTGTTTCCGTGTGCACAGCGTGCGAGACTGGGACCGGGCGGCGGAGTTGACGGCTTATGGAGAAGGGGTGTGTATTGCGGCCTGTTTTACGCCGTGTGGACCGGCATCATTCAATTACCTTAAGCGTTTGCAATGAAGAGTTTTCGGTTGATGTTTTTGTCAGGGGAAGTGTTGGTTTTTGGATTGGTGAGATGGTGATCATGTCTCCTTTTCGTGGTTAGTCCTTGCTATTTCCAGAGCGTTACGCCGTGGTTCTTTCCTTTCTTGTCCTGAAGTTTCTCGGATGCCGTACACGGCAAGAGCATAATGGCTGGGGATACGAAAGGGCGATACGCAGACTAGAGGCGGAGGCAGGAACAAACAGGTTCAATCTGTCTGTCCGTTCATCAGGCAGGAGTGCAGGTGTCGGGCGTGGTTTCCTCCTTTGTCTGCAGTTACCACCCCTCCCTCCTTTATCATCTCGCGCCTTCCCATTCGTCTTTTTTGGCTGCTTCAATAGCATGTCGTCGTTGCCTGTTCTTCTGCCACCACCCGTCTGCTCATGCCCTGCAAGGATGCGTTGGCAGAAAGGGAACGACGCAATGCCGGCTATAGGCGAAAGGGAAGAGAGAACGAGACCCGGCCGGGATGTGCAAATCCGGATCTGTGCAAGAATTTGAAATATACAAGATGAGTACCGGTGCATGTGTGTGTGTCGTCCTGGGGAGCAAGAGCGCAGAGCACATGAAGTAGGTGCAAGATGTCGATTGTCTCCTGCATGGAAGGAACTACTATGACAACCACTCTCAGAAAGGAACAACAGGACAAGGAAAGAGCGGTGCCTTCCCACACATGCGACCGGCCTCCCGTGTGACAAGAACAGATGGACGATGAGCCTACGAGGGGGTGGAGCGTGGAGGGGCTCTCCTCTTCAACTGGTGAGAAGACGATATCATTGGCCATAATGTGATGGCCGCATAAGAGGGTCGAGAACAAAACCAAACAGTGGTACCAGGTCAGAGAGCGAGATGGTGGAAGAACGGACAGCGAAGGCAGAAAGAACGGCGCCCCGGATATAGCATTTCTTGGGTTGTTATTGGACAGAATGAAAAAGACGGAATCAGGTCTGCATTTTCTCCATGGCTCTCTGAATTTCTCCTCTTCTGTGTGGCTAGTTTTTTCATCTCAGCCGAATTTATCGATGTCTCTTTTCTGTGGAACTGTAGCATTACTACGCCTCGTCGTTTTATTCTGTCATGTTCTGTGCCTCGACCCAAGTAGGCAATGTCAAGCAACTATCCCACGGAGCAAGACGAGCACGAAGAGGGCGAGCAAGGCGTTCAGGGAGGGGGGGTGTGGGTAGATTGGATCGAAGACGGTAAATGGGAACAGGAAAAGCACGGAGAGAATCAACCAAATAAAATAAAGAATGGAAAGGTGCCAGAGCAGAAAATAGGCAAACAACGATCGTTGACGGAGCAGATCTTCTCCAACGCGGCGTTCTCTCTCAGGCAGATCCCAGAACGAGGCACGTTTGAATTCTTCAGGTGAAAATGAGTGCAAAAGGGGTTTTCCATACAAGGGTCTCACAATGCGAAGTACACTTTGATGGAGAATTGAATCAAGAAATACAGGTTGAAAAGGACTCATAAAAAACAGCGACGAGGGAAGTCCGGGCAGAGGAGTGAGAATGAAGCCAAAACAACCGGGTCTCCGAGCTAAGGCACGACGAGTAGGCTAGAGAGGACTAAAATATGCAAAGCGTAGGCAGGAGAGCCGGTAACAGGATGCATTGCGTATTACTTGGTAGTGGTTAAGGTGATTGCAATGCGGCGGGAGGTTTGTGGGCAGGAAGAAGAATTTTTATTTTATTTTTTTGTTTAAAAAATTGAAACAATACATAAGACGTGCAGGCAGGATTATACAGGACAAAAATGGGTTGTCCGCTTGTGGGGAAGGACAACGGCTTGACGTTGTGGCCCTGCGTATAGATACGATCGAGTTACCTGTGCAGTCCGCCATGTGAAACTACTTTAAATTTACTTTGTGCGAATCTACAATAAAGGATCGCTGGGCAAGTCAAGCTGCAGGACATATTTCATGCCTTTGCAAAAAATTGCACCGGAAAATGGGAGAGTAAGGGTCAAAACAACAGCAACAAAGAGAACGTCGGATCGTATCGCCAGATCTATTTGTGTGCCCTACCGAAAAATTGAAGGACACAGGGCCAATATGTGCTTTTTTCTTTCTCTTAAAACCTAAGTACTTGGCTGGCCGTCCCCAAAAAGTCGGCAGTGGTCGAACCAAATAAACGGAGGGCTGATTCTGCAAGCAAGCTAGATTGACAAAGCGTCTGTTCTGGTATGAGTTGACGAAACTGCACGCCATAGATGATTTACCTCTCGCTCGAATTTATTATTACCCCCCTCTTTTTGTGTCCCCTCATCCTGCAGGTCTCCCCTCCCACCCATGACCAGACCCGGTCAGTGCCCATTGGCCGTTGGATCTCATAGACCCAGCACAGTCAGACATGGGAAAATAATTTGTGTTTCTTTTTTCTTTTTCTTTTTCTTTTTCTTTTTTTTTTTAAAAAAAAAACAACCAGTGCGAAAAAAAAAAAAACCTCAGGAAAGGCATAGAACACGGTACAGAAAACGCTGGAGCTGTCTCCTGAGAAGAGGACCGAGTACGGCATAGGTTGTGAACAGCGCCGCTCACGAGCGTCAATGGCGATGATATGCATAAACGCCTCGCGGGAGAGAAGATGAAGAGAATGGGATATGTACACGACGTATTGGGGCTGAACGTATGTGCCGCAATTCGTGACATCCCTGTGCGACATCACATGTCCTATTGCATTCTCTGTAGAAACAGCTGGGTCGTTGTGAAGGCCTGAGGAAACCTCATGGCAAACACCACATGCGAAGCCAAATCCTGAAGGGAAGGCTAGAATCTGGAATGAGCCGCTACGGAGCGAAGAAAACGTGAGGTATTGAGACCGTCACAGAGTGGTAGAAGAACTCCGAGTCCGCATGTCGTGTTCAGTAGATCCGGCTCAGTTGCGTTATTTTCCGCAGGAGTCCGGCTCATCAATAACAAGCAGGAAGCCGGAGGCGAGGCTAATATGAGGCACGTCGATACGGAGCGTGAAGGATGTGAATACGGGAGAACATGATGGTTCGGCGCCTAGTATGTTTCCCTAGAAGGAGAAGCATGCAATCTTGCTCAACATATGCCCGAAGTGATTGGTGGTACGGTAGTAAGTAAAAAGAGGATTTCTATTTCATGAGGTGAGTTGAATCACAAAGCTAGGAAAGAATGACATAGGAAATAAATGCGCTGCTATAGGGAAGGTACAATAAGTAGGTAATAGAAGATGGGCCTTCGCCTCGTTTAAAAGAAAGGTTCCCAAAAAGCACATCCCCGTGAAAGAAGGCCCGTCAATCTATTCTGAAAATGGGAACCAGGGAGGCTGAGCAAAGGCGAGCAAATGTAAAGACAAGAAAAAGAGTCCAACGGGAGTAAATCATAACGCCTGTGCGAGAAACTCGCTTCGATTGGCGTAGTAAAGGGATGCTGGAATTATAGAGACAAGAATCGAAATATTTAGAGAAACAGGAGGTAAGGAGGCAGATTGGAAGGGCAGGTGTCGATGAATTATTGGTAAAACACAAGAAGTAAAACGCCAACGAAGAGGGAGAATCGAGCAGGTGAATCTTAGAATACTCGATGGATCTCTGAGAAAAGACGGATGCCATCTTTAACCAAACACCTTCAGGAAAGCCCAGATGCCCAGGCCGCTCAGCACAGGAATCGTCAAGTTGTCGTCCCAGCCAAAGATATCCACTACCTCGCTGGCAGATGCAACAAAACCCGACCACAGGCTCACCACGCCGAGTGCCAGGGCGCCCGAGATGCTCGTCTTGGCGGACTCGTCCCAGCCAAGATACGAAACGGCCGAGGAAGGCAGGCTGAGGGTACCCTTGAACATAAAGTCGTCGTCGCCGGGCATCGGGCCAATTGTCTGGGAGAACCAGCCCCAGAACCACGCGGAGGTGGCCACACCGACCAGGAACGCAGCCGTCGAGCCGGCAAGTGACTTGCCGCGACGCAGTCGTGGCGTGTAGCGGCCATACATGCGGCCGAATGTGCTGGCTGCCGTGTCACACCAGCTCAGTAACAAGACGCTTATAACGCCGACATCCTTGGGCAGGGTGTACAGCACGGTCCAAGCACCAAGAAGGTAAAAGATGACACCGTTGTATCCGTCGAACTCGCTCTCGCGCATCAGGGCGCCCAGTAGTCGCACATACAGCCGGTTGAACGGTGCGTAACGGTGCCGAAGCAGATCGACGCTAGCAATGGGAATCAGTGCACCCATCAGGTAGGGGCACACCGAGCGAGTCTGCGTGCCCGACGCATAAAGCCACATAACCAGGAAGCCGATGGACACGTGGAGCAGCTTCCGTGGCACCTCATGCTTGTGCACAAACGACCGCCAGTGCCGGTGGATGGGGATCAGACCAAGCGGGCTAGGACTCCGGCTGAATTCACGCCACCAGTTGCCAGTGGTCGGAACGCCATTCAGTGGCGGCGGTCGCAGGTGGCCGTTCTTTTGGGTATCCGACGACTTGCCGTTTGTCGATGCTGCTGTTTTACTGCTCTTCGACGATGAGCCGCTACCACTTGCAGATGCGCCCTTCTTAGAGCCGTTTCCACCGTTGACAGGAGTGAGCTCACCCAGCCTCCGAGTGATGATTGGGCTGCGGCTCCGTGTCCGAGCACGACGGTGTTCGGATCCACTGCTGTCGCTGCTCTCTGCTGCAGCGGTTTTGCTGCCTCGGCCAGCTCCTCTTCTCTCTCCTTCTGCCGTCTTATCGCCGGAATTTGTCTCGTCTTCATCATACGACTCTTCCTCGAAAGGTTGAGGAGTCGACAATCGTTTCCTAGCAGACCGTGTCATCGGTCCATTGTACGAGCCGTCGCCTTCAAGTTCTTGTGATCCTTGCCGTTCAGATGGCGTTGGGCTCGGGGAGATAACACGCGGCGTTGCCGGGATACTCCGCCGCCGGCGTTGTGAGGTTGCAGACGACATGCCGATATATGGAAAGGGTGGCAGGACAGGAGTCGTTATGACGCCGCTAAGAAAACGGTGGGGGTCGAAAAATTGCAGGTACAGCCAGAAGTACCGGGCGTGCACAGGAGACGAAGACGTAGACGATGCTGACGAGCAGGAGGACGAGGAAGAGGAGCGGGGATGTGTCTTTTTGGAGGCCCGATAAGACGATGCGGACTGCGGGGCGGCGGAGTTCGCTGCGATCAGCGCTGGCCGGGACGTCTGGAAGAGGTCGGTGATAAACTGAACTAACGGATCCACGATTGCGAAGCAGAGTGCGGCTGAGTCGGGCTCGGCCGCTGAGTAGGTGAGGGTAGGGTAAGAGTGGAGAGGTGACGGATTCGTCGGGCGAAGTATTGTGACTTCGGATGTGCAACAAAAGGGGGCTCGCGTGCTTCGAGACAGCACGCGGATAGGTCGCTTCTGCTGGATTCCGCGAGATAAGAAAGGTAGACCGCCTTCTTATACGCTTCCCAGAATTGGCAGAGGTTATGGCAGTGGAGAAACGAGTCGGTTCAGGTTGGTTTGCTGGTCGGTTGGCCGATGAGGCTGTCTTCCTTTTGGCTTGTGATCGCCGAAGGGAAAGGAAACTGAAAGGAGACTGCCACGAAGTAGACAAGTTAATGCAAGAAACCGACTATAATATAAGAAATACAGGTGTCAGATAGGATATTGGCCCGGCGATTGGGTGCCGCTGGTCATGGGGAAAGATTGTGGCCTTGGTGTGGTGTTGATGTCGCGTGGCGAGTGGGAGCGTGACATGACGCCAAATACAGCCAACATAGGAGGGAACGAAAATTTAGGCGGCGAGCAGCGTGGCTGCCACTCTTGCGCTGACATGGGGGTGATTGGCACCTTCTCGAAAAGATTTGCGGTCGCTTCGGAAGGAACCTAAGGCCTTTGATTGGTCCTCATAAATTGATGCCCCATAATAATGGCACAGTGTACAAACCTTAACTTTAGAGCAATGTTACCTAGGAGCACTGTAATATGCACTGTATGTCTTCTGCTTCTCGAAAACTCGCGATAAGATAACCCCAAAAAAAGTTTAAGACGTCGAACTTCTAACTGGAGGTGTGCTCGTTATTGCGCCGGCGGAAGGGGCAACTACTTTATTTACTTGATACCCGGTCACTCTTTCTTGGGTTAGGCCGGTTACTCTTTCCTTCTCCACATCTCAACGACAGAACGAAGACAAACGGCTGCAGCGAATATTCGGAAGGCGCAACCGCTCGCGCCTTAAGAGCCACAACTCCCTCACTGATTCCGACCATCGCGACCGGCGCTGCCTCCGAAACTACCACATTTTCTCTTGCGTCGCACCAACGACCGCCGTCACGCACTGGCTTACGATGGCGCCAGTGAAAAAACGGAGTACGCGGTCATGGGACGCCATGGGCCTGCCCGAGTGGTGCCTCGAGGCCGTGTCCAGCAT